GTCCCCGCACACCCCGCCAGCAGGAGCGTCAGCTGTCCGGCCAGCAGCTGTCCAGGCCAGGAGCGCCCCGCGGCTGTGCCTGCACGCACACAAAATGACAGATGTGCAAGGCTGTATCTGAAGCCGGGTCTGTAAGAGTAAAAGACTGTAAACAACCCTAATAGCCCCGAGAGGGGACTGGCCACATAGCCACCCGCGCACCCACACGGCCACAATGCTCCCCAATTATTTAAAGAGAAATCTCCACGTACTTTCCACCCCCCTGCAAAGGGAGCTACGCTGCTGTGCACAAACAGCAAAAGGCGTCACATCTAAATAAGTTAATGTGTGTGTTTCTTAAATGGCAGTAAAATAAAGAGCGGTGTTTGTGATGCATAAACAAATTACGGCAGGATTCAGAAGAAACGAATTAAGGCCATGACCCCGCAGGGAGAGGCCAGCGCTGCATGGAGGGGGTGACTTGTCACCAGCCTGCCTCATACGTTTCTTCACTTTGGGACCAGTGACTGTGTTCATAAACTGTTCAAAAAACTCTGTTCAAAAAACTAAAAGTCTGACAAACCCGTTAAACTTGCGTTCGCACACACAATAGGATGCTGGAGAAAACTAGAGAGCCTGGCAGTGTGTTGCCCTTGGTTACCTGGGTGGGAAGAGGATGAGAGGAAAATAAAACGATAAATTTTAAAAGTGCACGAGAAAATGGGCACAGAAAATGGACAAGAGCCATCAGGCCACGCAAGGTGCTTGTCTCACAGCACATGACTGATTGTACGTGGCCTTCATATTTGTATAAATTGTTTGGATTTCTTTTAAGTAACACCCACTCCTGTGTAATCAAAACATGGTTATTTTCATTTTTAAGAAAACTCTAAGTCAAAAATGCCATTTATTTCTCAAGGAGAAAAACCAAACAGATTTTACATTGTTTAAACAAAAAGAAAAGAATCCCTTCATTAGAAAAAATAGATCAGGAAATCAGAACCATGGGCACCCTCTTTTTAAAAGGGAAATTTTTTCTTATTGAAAACAGCTTAATATGTTTTTAGGTGGAAATAAGTTTAAATTCAGTTGTATCTTTTACTTATCCTGTACTTTTTTACTCTCTTAAAAACGTCTTAACACTCAAGGAGAGATAAATAGAAACCTGCTGTTTTAGAGAGATAAAGAAATGCCAGACATACAGTTTCAGGCCGTATGAAGCATTTTTTGGATAATTCTGTGATCTCAATTTCTACTGTGAGCGTCAGTGGTTTGTAAGTATATTTGTTACTTGTGGACACTAGATGGCGCTAGACGGGGTTCGTGCTACATCCTCTTAACTCTATTAACCATTATGCTAACTTTACTGTTCTCTTAACATTCTCCTTAATAAAAAGTTTTAAATTTTAGGGGCGCCTGGGTGGCTCAGTTGGTTAAGCGCCCAACTTCAGCTCAGGTCATGATCTCACAGTTCCTGGGTTCGGGCCCTGTGTCAGGCTCTGTGCTGACAGCTCGGAGCCTGGAGCCTGTTTCGAATTCTGTGTCTCCCTCTCTCTCTGACCCTCCCCTGCTCACGCTGTCTCTCTCTCTCTCTCTCAGAAATAAATAAAACATTAAAAAAAATTTTTTTTTAAGTTTTAAATTTTATAGTACAAAATGGGTATGAGGGGCGCGTGGGTGGCTCAGTCAGTTGAGCATCTGACTCTTGATTTCGGCTCAGGGCCTGATCCCAGGGTCGCGAGATCAAGCCCTGCTTTGGGCTCCGTGCTGAACATGGAGCCTGCTTACGATTCTCTCGCTGCCCCTCCCCCATTGGCACCCCCTCTAGCGCTCTGTCAAAACACATAAATAAACGTGAAAAAAAATTTTAAGGGGCGTGAATGATTCAAGAAGAAAGGTTGCTGAACTTTCCCTTTAGACCATTAAAGCCCCATGTAAAGTGGGGTCAAGAGGGCAGTTCCGTGCTGTCTTATTACCACACCGGTTCTCTAAAACGTGACACCTGATGGTTTTCCTGAAACCAAAAAGACACACAATTCATTTGTTGCCTTCCATGATAAAACGTTGCTCTGGGAGGTTACTAACGCGCCTGTAACTATGCTGGTGTCACGCAGTGGCCCTGCTGTGAGGGCTGGAGGGCAGGACCCCGGTCCTCAGGCTGGCCACATGCTTGCTCACGGTGCCACGGCCACCCGCGCGGCCAATGCTGAAAGAAGAAGTCACTACTTACAGAGGGAAGAGTTTGGTCCTTCTGTATCTGAAGTGGTTTCTTTTTTCTACTTCTCCAAATTACCTTATTTACGGGAAATGCCTCTGGAATCAGTAAATAATATAAATCAGGGGAGCGCCTGGCTGGCTCAGTCAGTTAAGCATCCAACTCTTGAGCTCAGGTCTTGCTCTCAGGGTTGTGAGTTCAAGCCATGTGTTGGCCACAATGAAGCCTACTTTAAGTAAGTAAGTAAGTAAGTAAATAAATAAATAAATAAATAAATAAATAAATAAGATTGGCAATACCTGGGACTGGCCAAGCTGAGAATGTTTGTCATATATTGTAACTTAAAACCAATCTGGTACCTGAGTTGAAACCCTGACTCACTAAAGCCTAGCTTGGCCAACATGCTTAATATTTCATCTCCAGGATCACCTGGGGGGCTCAGTCAGTTGAGTGTCCAGCTCTTGATTTCAGCTTAGGTCATGATCCCAGGGGCGTGGGATCGAGCCCTGCACTAAGCTCTTCACGGAGCATGGAGCCTACTTGGGATTCTCTCTCTTTCTCTCCCTCTGCCCCTCCCCCACTCGCACTCGCTCTCAAATACATACAGACATACATCACAAGTCTAACCTCCAAACATCCAGTTTTTCATCTTTAAAATGAGGAAAATAATAGTGTGGATCAATTGGGATTGTTAAAAGCATTAAATGTACCTAATATTGTATCTGGTACATATATGTGTAAAAACTCACTGTTTGATTAGCATTTTGTCATATATATATGTGTGTGTGCTACACACAGAGTATTAGTACCACCACTAATAGATACCAATAAGGCATACCTTCCATGAGGAAACTGAGTTAAATTTCAACTCAAATCAAAACTAGCCTATCACAGTTATGATGTTAGAGATTTTTTAAATGTTTTATTTATTATTTTGAGAGATAGAGAGCAAGCAAGTGGGGGAGGGGCAGAGAGAGGCGGAGACACAGAATCTAAAGCAGGCTCCAGGCTCTGTCTGAGCTGTCAGCACAGAACCCGACGCGGGGCTCAAACCCACAAACTGTGAGATCATGACCTGAGCCGGTCGGATGCTTAGCGGACCGCCACCGAGGCGCCCTCACATTCAAGACTTTTTAAAGGTACGCGTTTAACACTGTTGGTAGATCAAATGTACTGGTCTTTCCTGAGTACCTGTCACAAGGTGGGGCCCAGGGGCGGGACGAAGGCCCTTGGTGCCCCACTGTGCGTACCTGCAAGGCCTCAGCTGGCCCTGGGGACTGCTCTGGGGACCACAGGCAGCACAGAGCCTCACCCGGGGCTTGAACTCCCAAACCATGAGGCCACCACCTGAGCCAAAACCAAGAGTTAGACGCTCAACCAAGACACCCAGGCGCCCCAGCATCCAACCCTCCTAACTAAGCTTGTGATCGAAGACAAAAGTCACCCAAACACAGGATTATTCCGTAGAGACCACTGTAAAACCCCTACTCCACCCGTCCCCTGCTGAGTGCCCGCGTCCGTCACTCCCCAGTCGGCGGTGGCGGTGCCCCTGGTGAACAGTACGGCAGCAAAAATCAGCTAAGGGGTTCTAAGTACTACGTAAGAGGCAAGATTTGATAAACTGTATAAAAGTCGTGTGGAAGAACTGCCCACACTTCACCAGGACACAAGAGTGTGGCGGACGCAGCTGGGCTAAGATGGAAGCAGAGAAATCAGAAGGCTGGTCAGCACCCGGAAGAAATAATCTGAACATAAAACACAACAAACAGACATTTTTAGATTAAAAAAAAAGAATATGAAAAGGCTGTGAAAATCAAGTGTGTGTTGAAGAATATACCATAATTCTTCCATAAGAACCGTGTTCTTCCCAAATTCAGGCAATTCATTTTCGGTCTGTTGCAGGAATCAGCGTATAATAACAATTACAAGCTCAATGACAGTAAGTACAAAACTTGTCATAAATTTTAGCTTCATTTTTCAAAACAAAGGCTCAATCATTTTTCATTCTTCACTTGGAAATGGTGATGCTTGTTTTAAATAGATTTATCTCAAGTGACTACTTTTTTTGAAAAAAAAAATTTAACACGTTTATTTATTTTTGAGACAGAGAAAGACAGAGCACCAGTTGGGGAGGGGCAGAGAGAGAGGGAGACACAGAATCTGAAACAGGCTCCAGGCTCTGAGCTGTCAGCACAGAGCCCAACGCGGGGCCCAAACCCACAAACCGTCAGGTCATGACCTGAGCCAAAGTTGGATGCCACCCAGGCGCCCCTCAAGTGGTTTTAAAGCACTGCATTTTGACTGCATGTGGTTAGTAGGAAAGCAAATATAGGGGAAGAGAGAAATCAGAAACTACATGGTGTTATTTTCTTAAGTGGGAATATTGGCATTGTTATCCTAGATCTATGATGTGCTGTAGGATAAAGCAATTACATAATTATATGGACATTATTAAAAACCAAGATTTCAGCATTAAAAAGATGTAAATATAGGGGCGTCTGGGTGGCTTAGTCGGTTAAGCGTCTGACTTTCGCTCAGGTCATGACCTCACGGTTCGTGAGTTCGAGCCCCGCGTCGGGCTCTGTGCTGACAGCTCAGAGCCTGGAGCCTGTTTCAGAGTCTGTGACTCCCTCTCTCTCTGACCCTCCCCTGCTCATGCTGTCTGTCTCTCTCTCTCCTAGAAATAAATAAAAAAACATTTAAAAATTTTAAAAAAATGTAAATATAAAACCTAAGACATAAAAATCATAATCTTAATTTTTAATTGAATATAACAATGTGATATGATTTTATTTTTTCCCTTCAGAAAATATGTATTTCCTGTATCTACCAACCCCAAGGACCAACTAGTAAGGACAGAGGCCCCAACACCTAGATCCTGGTCTCCAAATAGCATTCCTCCAGGGCTTCCTGGGGAAATCCTTGCTGCTGGGTCTAAAGCAAGAAGGGTCAGGATGACCCCAGGACATTGTCATGCCTACAAGCAGAAAACGTTATTAAAAGAGAAAAGGATCCTATGCAAGTGATATGGGCTCCGCACTGAACAAAGAGCAGTTTGACCATCGAATTGGAAAATTATCACTGCAATCGTGAAACGCACCAAATATACCGACACATACGAGCACGTAATGACACCACAAACAGAAACAGTGCCGTTGGTCAGCTCTGGAGACTGCTACGACACCCGGTCACCAATCCGGAAGATTGATAAAGGACAAGCATCAAGTATGTATTCTGCCTGTCCCTATAGACCGCCTTTCAGGGCAAGCCGGTGGGGGATGCAGAGCAGTCATTCTTCACGAGAGTCCCAGCTATCCGACCAAGCCGGGGAGCCGGGCAGGAAACCCCCACCTTGCGGTCCCTAACGGCTGATGGAGCCGCACTCGCGGGTGAGCGCTGAGGCTGTGGGATCGCTGAGGCTGTGGGATCGAGGACGGACTGGGACTCTGTCCTTCACTGCAGAAATGTCCTCACGCAGACAGAAGCCGCCTTGTAAAAACGTGTGACACCGACACAGATGACCAGGGTTGTTGCTGATGGAATCCCCACGTGAGCTTCTTGAGCCGCGCAGCAGTCGTGTTCAGACCTCACCAAAATCGAGATCAAACAAGGCGCGCAGACTGCTTCCAGCTCTTCTCAGGGCTCCTTGTAAGCCACAGCCCCTTGTTCTCCCCTCCCCCCACCCGCCCCCAGAGGAAATTGGTTGTACTGTGAGTTTCCCATATTCTGGACTTAGCTGAGCAACGTAATGTAACCTATTTCTATAAACGGGTGGGTAAGAGCTGCATCCAATTCAGGTTCAATGTTTCGGGCAGTAATATTTCACAGGCCGGCTTTGGGGTGGGGGGTGAGGGTGTTTTCACTCATCGGGGCAGCCGAACCAATCACAACTAATCAAACCAAAGCAAAGCAACCAGCAACCGCAGGGATAAATCCTGATACCCAGAAGCCACTGACGTACCAGCACCTCTGCAGGGGGAAGGGGGAAGGGGAACAGAGGGCCAGCCAGTCTGAGGGCAGCACGGAGGGCGGGCTGCCCCTCTGCGTATCAGGAAGCAACTGCCGGCAGGGCTCAAGGACCATCTGCACCTCAGGAACTCTCAGTACAGAGAAGCTGTAGGGAGGGATGGCTGTGCCCCTCAGAATCCCATACTGAAGCCCTAACCCCGGGTGGCTGGACTGGGAAGAGGGTAGTGGGGGGGGGGGCGCAATGCAGGAGGTCACAGGGCGGAGCTCCAAGGGGTAGGACTACTGATGGCCTGAGACAGAGCCTCAGTAGAATCCAATCCCTGCCCAACCTTGACCTTGGACTCCAAACCTTAGGGGCTGTAATAAACGTCTCCTGTCGGAGCATCCCCAGGTCTGGGTGCAACAGGCGGAAGCCCCTCCTAGAACAGGCCCCACACCGAGGAGAAGCTTCTAGGGACAGATTCCCAAGTAGGCAGGACAGGGAAGAAAGAAGCAAAGGAGACCCTGACTCCACAGAAAAGCCGGGGCGGTAAGAACTGGGGAATTTGGAAGTTTGCAGATGCTTCTCAAAGATGAGGAACGCTACGGAAGGGCAAGGCCGCCCGAATCCATGCCTCCCCTCCCAGAGGTTCAGGGAGACAGAGTTCCCCGAAACAGGCAGCACCGAGGCGTTAGGGTGAATGGAGGGGACATTTGGGAGGGAGGACGAGGGGACAGAAGTGAACATAGACCATGACCTGCTGCCAGAGAGATGCGTCCTCTTGAAAAGATTACAACTATAACCTTAATGTTTCAAGATGAGCCGAGAGAAATTATCGACATAACCCAAGATATTAAAAAAATAAATCAGGTCTCCAATGAGCAGTGTGACGATGCCTTTAAAACTCAGTGACTTTCATAAACTCTGACCAAATAATCCCATTTCAATTTCTTGGAAAGAAAACACTGTTCAAGCCATATGCATAAAAATGTTCATTTATGTGAAAATGTTAACAGTTCAGCTATTAACAATTATTTGAAGAATACATAACCATTTTCATCACAACACGTGAGAGATCCGTGCTCCCTGCCTCCCCACAGCCCTGCGGGCGGCACCCCTCATCCCTGCGGGCAGTGGTGGACCCAGACCCCGGGATCTGTGTGCCTCAGGTCTGCAGCTCCCTATTCTGACGGCACCTGGGGGACGCGGAGACCCTGCCTCCCGGACTACCCCCCCGCCCCGTCACATCCAGGGGGGGTGAGATTCTGCCTCGGGGCCCCCTCTCTGCCTCCCGGACTCCTCCATCCGACTATCACATCGGGGGGCGGGGGGTGAGACTGCTTCCCAGCCACAGCCACCCCAGGTCTTGAGTCAGGGCTTATCAGGAAGGGACAGCATTCCTGACCCCAGAGAGCGTGGGGACAGGACACAGCCTCTGGAATCGAGGCCTCCGTGGTACAGGGTCTCGGGAAACATGAGCCCCAACTGCTCACTGTCATGACAAAGCCTCCTTCCAGGGACTCCCATCACGGTGCTCGCGTAATAAGACCCCAGGCCTACGGCTCCCCTGCCCCTCGGTCTGTGCTGCTGCGACAGCACCTCACACGGTGACCGGCAGCTAACAGAGCACAGGGTGGGAACGTGCACGTGGTAACCCCGCCGACGCCTCCGTGTCAGTGGTGATTTGAGGGGTCTGGGCTGTTGCATGGGGGGTGGTTTTGTAATTTCAGCTCTCAGTTTCCAAGTCAGCATCGATGTTGTCTGGTTAGCCCAACTCTCCCCCGGGTCTTCTCCTTTAATGCACCCCACACGTCACCAGCCCAGGTCTCCCCAGCTCCAAACGGAAGCACAGCACAAGGCGAATGCCTGAAGATGGGGTGAGGGTGTATGTACCGTTTGTGCACTTCTGAAAACACAAGACAGCTCAGTCAGTGGCAGCACGGGGTGGGGGGGGAGGGGGAGGTATTTGATAGGATTAATTCTGTGCACACTGGTGTCTGCATCTCGCACCGTGTCAGAGGCTGGGGACGGGACGTTGAAGATGGCGTGGCAAAACACACACACAAGCCTTTTATGTTGTTTTTATATATGGGGGGCGGGGAGGTTCAAGAGAGCACGTGCATGTGCACAAGCTGGGGAGGGGCACAGAGAGGGAGAGACAGGATCCCAAGCAGGCTCCGCACTGACCGTTCAGAGCCCAATGGGGGCTCAAACTCACAAACCAGGAGATATGACCTGAACCAAAATCAAGTCAGACGCTTAACTGACTGAACCCCACAGGCCCCCCCGCAGAACTTTAAAAAAATAATAATTTTGGGGGGGCCTGGGTGGCTCAGTTGGTTGACTATCTGACTCTTGATTTTGGCTTGGGTTCATGGGTTCCAACAGTGCAGAGCCTGCTTGGGATCCTCTCTCTCTCTCTCTCTCCCTCTCTCCCTCTGCCCCCCCGCCCCTCCCCCACTTGCACTCTGCGTGTCTCTCTCTCCCTCTCAAAATAAGTAAACTTAAAAAGAAAAATAAAAAATAATTTTGGTTTTCCATCTACTGGATTTGGTAAAGCAGAGCACATCTTCAAAAGTTACAATTAAAAACATGGTGGTTTGAGTAGCGTACAGTTCTAAGCATTGGGAATAAATTCCCCTTTTAGCGCTGAACCCACTGAGGGGCGCAAGCAGGGGACACACAAAGCCGACCCTCCGAGGCGGGTCAGCCGCCACAGCAGCCCGCGCACACTACAGGCTCCTAGCAACTGTCAAAAGTGGTGTAAGAGCATCTGGCACAGAAATGCCCACGATGAAAGCAAAACACGGTGACGACAGTGCTGTAGCGCCAGCCGGCTCTTGGGGAGAACGTCTGAAAACGCGTGACCAAGCATCCATGAGTCGCCTCCACGAGGCAGGGAGTGTGGCGGCTGTGTCTTAACGGTCCAGGTCCCGGAACTTTTGAAAGTACGACGTATGAACTTTTCTCACCACGCGTAGCACTGACTGCACGCGCACTACACTCAGGTGTGGCCTGCGGGGAGCTTGCTCCTTTCCCCTTCGTCCAGGAGGCAAACCTGTTTACAGGGGACACGGCGCAGAACGGGTGCAGAACGAGCGCAGCACCCCGGCGCGAGTGCGGGCAGCGGGGCATCATGTGGCCCTCAAGACGGAAGTCCTGCCGCCTGCGCGGATGAACCCGGAGCGGCGAGGTGAGCCAGGCCGGGCCACCGCGGTGGGACAGAGAGTAGCCCGGCGGAAGGCGGGCCCGGGGCAGGGGCCGGGGGCCGGGCCCGGGGAGGGGGGCCGCGGGCACAAAGCTGGTCCCGCAGGGGCGGCTCTGGAGACGTCCCACCCTCTCCAGGTGGCACGTGCTCTCACCACACAAAGAACGGAGGTGGCGGACTCGCTGACCAGCCTGGCTGGCGCGCCCTTCTCACCTGCATCCGGACGCCCCGCGCTGCGCGCCCTAAACCGTAGTTTGTACTTGCCAGTCACACCTCAGATGGGAGGAAAACCCTAGTTGTCGAAAGCTGGTGCCCGGCGCTCACAGCAAACGCCCGTTCCAGCGTTTGCTGCACGTGTGTCGGACGGACAGGGAGAGGTCTGGTCACGGCCACTGGCCACCCTCCGAATTTCTGGGAACGCTGTGGCGCGGAGGGGACCTCAGTGGGGCACCTGCCCCCAAGCCTGCCGCCACGACGGTCTCCGAGCCACTGCTCCTGCCCTGTAGGGGCCTTCCAGGTAGGGGGCTAAGGCACCAGGTCCCCGCCCCAGCCCGGCTCAGCCCTGTGCCCCAAAGCCTTCTCTCCGCCAGGTCCTTCCCAAGCGGGCCCAGTTCCCGCTTTCTGAGCTGTGGTTTCCAGACCAGTGCCCTGCGGCCCGCGGTCTGCTCAGGGTGTGTGGAAGCCTCTGTCCGGATCACAGAAGGACCACTTGCCTGGCGTGTAAAGGCAGGGAATTGAAAACCAACAGAATCCCAGCTTCCCCTCCCCTCCCCATGGCTCAGCTGACAGTGTCACAGTGTCGTTCTGACTCCCTGGACCCACCTGGCAAGGTTACTCCGTCTCCCCTAAAAAGGAGCCAGAGGGGCACCTGGGTGGCTCCATCAGTTAAGCGTCTGACTTCAGCTCAGGTCATGATCTCACTGTTCGTGAGTTCAAGCCCCACGTTGGGCTCTGTCCTCACAACTCAGAGCCTGGAGCCGGTTTTGGATCGTCTCCCTCTCTCACTGCTCCTCCTCCTCCACTCGTGCTCTGTGTCTCTCTTAAAAATAAATATTAAAAATTTTTTAAATCAAGTACAAACTAAAAAATAAAAACTACCTGGAATGGGTGGGAGAGGCCACAAACCCCCAACTCCGGGGGTGGGGGGAGATCCCACCCCTATGGTCCTCCCCATCCCCATCCCCCAAATGCTCCTCCTCAGGGGTCCCTCAGAAAGCACAGTAAACAGGGACAGTGGGGAGCATGAGGCGACCTTTGCCCCCATGGCAGCGAGACCAGTGAGGGACACCACTTACCCCTCACCCAGAGCAGAGGGGACAGTTGGCCATCTGGAGAGCACTGCGGGGGACAAGAGCAGCTTCAGTGGGGAGAGGGGTGTCCCGGGGGCCCGACAGCCAACGACTGGACACCCACTTCCTGAACAGAGGCCCACCTCCCAGCCCCCAATAGGGCTTCAGGCTTGAAGGGTCTAGGGTGCGGGAAGGGTAGAGGTGCACCTCTCCGGCAGCGGATGCCTGCCTGATTCTGGAATAGTCTGACGAGATGCCTGCAGCCCCACACAGTGGAGGGAGTCCTCAAAACAGGCCAAGTGTGTCCCACGTGCACAACTAGCAAATCAATCTGAAGCAGGTGCTCAACACTGAATTTCCTGATAGTGACACTCACAGAAAACACCAGAAACCCTCAGGGGAGTTGCTTCAGGTACACACATGCTTCTCCGCCAAGAAGGGTCTCCTTTAGTTTAACACGTTTTTGCAACCCTCTGCCGTCCCAGAGGTGCTGATGGGACACAGCAAGTCCCGAAAGTGCTTTTCACGCATCTCGCCCTAACTGCATTCCACTGGTGCTCCACTGCTCACTGCCTGCCAGCGCCCTGCCTGCCGGCTCCCTGCCTGCCAGCTCCCTGCCCGCCTGCGCACTGCCTGCCCGCGCCCAGCCCGCCAGCTCCCTGCCCGCCTGCGCACCGCCCGCCAGCGCCCCAAAAAGGTCCAACGCCCCCAAAGGCACCACCGTCCCACTGTGTGAACTCAAACTCCGCTCCTCCCGTATCCTAAGACCATCCTGGGTCTGCATCGGCTCAAGGGCCCAGGCGGCTTTCCATTCAGGGCTCCCCCGTTAGACTTCAACGGAGGGAAAAGCTCCCGCCATCTGCTCCAGCCTGCGGAGAACCGGCCATCCTGCTAACTGCTACTTCCCACAGCGAGTAATAGAGAGGATGCAGGAAATTCAGACAAAAAGCCGTGTCAGACTTGTGACAAAAGACTTGTAAATTCTCTCCCACAGGTTAAGTGAAGCAGCTTCCAAATTACATTGTAGATTCTGAATATTCATGTCACTTGCATTCCATGAGGGTCACAAACACACATGCCTTGTATTTAGGATCTGAATGAAGTTTCATCTCAATTATGGGAAGAATCTGATCACATCTCAGACTGAAAACCTGGTTTTAAGTCAAGCACGGAGTGTGGCACACAGAGCGATTCTATCCACTGTACCCTTCACTCAATATGGAATCTTCTATTCTACCCTTTGGATCTCATTTTTCAGTGTATTTAAGAGATCTCTTCTATCTTTTTAAATAGGAAAAGTAATCATCTAAAGACAAATGGGCACCTAAACTTTGGGAACTGAACTACAGCAGTCCTCACGGGAGCCAAAGAGCTTAAGACTTAACTGCCACAGTATAAGTGATGACGGGGCCAAACTCAGTAAGATCCTCTCATTTTTAAATGCAGAAATCATACAAAAATAAATGGTTTAATCCAATGGAATTTTGCAATGTTTTCATTTACTGAGAAGCCATTCTAAGGTCTACTTTTCTCTTGTGCTATTTGTGCCCTTGAACTGGCCACAGAGATCCTTTAGGAAAAACCAAGAAAGCTGCAGGGTGCCCAACACAATTCCCTCATCTTCGGCATCGTTAAAGCTTAGGAATACTTGGAAGCAGCAGGTGAACACAGAACGTCTTCCTGAAAACCAACTTTACATCAAACGTGTCACATTGAGACAAAAAGCAAATAATCACACAGCGTTTTTAACAAGAGATGTTTTTAACATGAGATGATTCTCAAGTTCCTGCCATCGTTTGTATGGTTTCACCGACTTTCAGAAGCTCTACACTAGAACATGGTTACTTTTGCCACAAAGAAATAGCAACTGCAATTCTTAAAGTTACCTATTTGACACGTCTAGGACGACACAGACCAGTTACTGACCAGGTCACGTAGGTCTCAAGCTCTTCCCTAGGGGACACCACTTCGTCGAGAGGCAGGTGGGATTAACACGATCGTAGCTTCACCACGCTGACAGGGTTCACACTTCCTAACAACTTACCCAACAATACCAGTGATGACTGTCCGATCATTTGCATAAAATGATTCAAACATACAAAAAAGAAAATAACGTAACGCCGAATACTTCGTACAGTGACACTAGTAACACAGCAATTTAAATAGTAACGTGGCACAATTTTCCGTTAGTGGTTTTCAAACTGCTTACCAAACAAGGGATGAGTTCACTTGCTTAGATATTTGAAATACAACTTTATTCTGATTCTAAACGAAAAGGAATGGGAAGGACAGTGACAAACGAGATTTCACCACTGGATATTGTGATGTGACTATAGCAGTCTTATATTTGAAACTCAGGAAGGAAACAACTGCGTTCCAAAACAGCTACATACGAGGTCAAAAAAATGAAGGTACTTTTTAAACGGCCACATTCACTCTGAAGCCCATCCGCCTCCTTGAACCCCCAGACGAAGCACACGTTCTGCTCAGCTACGTAATAAAGCGGCAAACACGCCGCACCACTGCCATCACAGGACAGCTGCCTATAAAACTAGACTTCTGACGCCGGCTGCAGCCGCTCTCACAGGTCGTCGTCCTCGTCCGGGAGAGCAGTCGTCTGAGCGACCTGGGGACAGACACACGTGGTGAGGCTCGAGCCCCCGGGACACCCCGCGGCACGACGAGCGGCCCCGGCGGGCACGGACGCCTCACCTCTAGATCGTGCTCGTACTGTGCCGCCAAAGCCGGGTCCATGACCACCTCCGGCGGCGCGAGCGCGGGCATGGCCACGAACTCCAGGTTCGGGTCTCCGATTAGCTTCCTCGCCAGCCACAGGAAGGGCTTCTCAAAGTTGTAGTTACTTTTGGCAGAAATGTCATAGTACTGTTTAAAAAAGAAGCAAAGTTAATTAAAAAATATCTACTTGTTCTAGGGCACGTTCCAAACTATGTAGGGTTCCTTTGACCCGTAGTTTACGCATCCCTTTAACCGTCCCTGTTGTTGGGCGTTTTGTCCCAGGCTGAGCCGTTATGCAGCAGACAAGAAGTTTTAAGACACGTACCTGAAGGTTCTTCTTTCGGTGGAAGACAATAGATTTTGCCTTAACTTTCCTATCCTTAATGTCCACTTTGTTGCCACACAGCACGATGGGGATGTTTTCACACACTCGTACCAAGTCTCGATGCCAGTTAGGCACATTCTTGTAAGTGACCCTTGATGTGACATCAAACATTATGATGGCACACTGGGCTGAAAGAGAGATTGACAGTAATCGTCACCCGCCCGCGAAGTCCTACACAGATGAACAATGCTGAGGACCACGGGCTACATCTCATCCCGAATGAGGTCTACATTTCTCCACTCGTTCTCAAGACCTCTTCCAAGTCTAAAAATCTTGTATCACTGTAACACACAAGGTTTAAAATTCCACTTCCTGCTAATGCGTGAATGGCCAGCTTGCCACATCCAATCTGTCCCTGTGATACTTCAATTCTGCCTCACCCCAAAATCTGAAGTAGACTATCAGTAAATCAGCATTCCAGACAACTTGTCTCTTTTATGCAAAAGACCTAGGAATCTAGTTTTAAAAGTCCTAAGGTGACTAAATATAGATTATTCCTTTGCCTAAAAACAGTGGAATCTAGGGGCATCTGGGTGGCTCAGTCAGTCCTACTTTGGCTCAGGTCATGATCTTGCAGTTCGGGAGTTCAAGTCCCACATCGGGCTCTGTTCTGACAGCTGGGAGCCTGGAGCTGCTTCACCGCCCCTACCCGCTCGTGCTTGTTCTGTCTCTCTCTCTCTCCCCAAACTAGATAAACGTTTAAAAGTTTTTGAGAGGGGGAAAAAAAACCCCAACACTCAAGTCTCCAGATTGACCTATAAGGAAATTCACGATACAATAGAACAAGCCAGAAAAATGTACAATCTAATAGCTTTTAGCTCAACACTTTTGGCGGGCAAACACAAGTCCACATATTTGTACATATTCAAAAGAGGCTCAAGTGATGGAAGGATTCCCAACAATTTGTCATCACAGGAGTGAGATTTCAGGAGGCGTTTTCTTTATCCACCTTTATTTGGTACAATGCAATTGCAGTCAAGCATTTTAGAATAAAAATATCTGTAAAACTTAATACAATTGGAAAAAAACCCCAGCTATTCCTGAAGCTACAGCAACAGTGTGTGATGCTGGGTATTCTGTGAAACTCCGGATAAAAGCAGTCTGTCCTGAACGGTGCCCATCATGACACAGCACAGGACGCACTGGTACAACTTTTCCATGGAGCCTCCCCTCCCCGAACGTCACACACCGCGAGTAGTCGCCTGAACACTTTCCCGGAACAGACGGCGGGGGAACGGCCCCGGAAGCAGATAACACCGGACAGCAGCCCAAGCGCACGTGAGGCCCCTACCTTGGATGTAATAGCCGTCTCTGAGCCCCCCGAACTTCTCCTGCCCAGCCGTGTCCCACACGTTGAACTTGATGGGCCCTCTGTTCGTGTGGAACACGAGGGGATGGACCTCCACGCCCAAGGTGGCTGCAACACAACACGACACGTTAGCCCACGAGCGCCGCCCTCGCAGGTCCCCCCCTGCGGCGCCCCCACGTACCTACATACTTCTTCTCAAATTCACCGGTCAAGTGACGCTTCACGAACGTGGTCTTCCCGGTGCCACCATCGCCAACCAACACGAGCTGCGGGGAAGCGAATTGTTGGAATGACCCCGACAACGTCACGTTTCAGGACCCGGAAGCCCGGGCCGTTGAGCCCCCTGCGGACACGCGTCCGCGGCCCCTAACGCCAACTTTGCGGGTCCCGAGGGCGCTCCGAAAACAAAGGCTTCCCCGCGGCGGCCGCGCGATGACTCGGACAAATCAAACTTGGGCACCGCAGCGTCCCCGCGCGATCCGGGGAGCGCACACCCCCGCCCGCTCCCGGGGCCCGGGGGGAACCGCCGCAGCGACACGCGCTCGGGGCCGCCCCGCCCGCGGACCCCGCGTGTCCCCGCGGGCAGCACGCATCCCCGACGACAACCTACTTTGAACTGGACTTGGGGCTCTCCCTGGGCAGCCATCGCGCTGGTGCTGCGGAGCAAAGAGAAGGCAATGGGGCCGGCGGCTCGGCCCGGGAGCCACATGGCCCGGCCCGCCCCACGTGCCCAGGCCCACAAAGGGGCGCCGGCGGCCGGGCCCCACGCGCGCACACCCCGGCCGGGGCGGGGGCCGCGCGCGCTCGAGGCGGCGGCGGGCGGCGCTCCTCCCGCCCGGCCGGCCGGGCGCGGGGCCTGGCGCCGAGCCCGCGGGGGAGGCCTCGCGGGGCGGGAGGCCGGGAGGCTGGGCGGGCGGAGGCCGGGGCCGCAAAGCGCCCGCCCGATCGCGAGCCCGGCCCGCCGCTCGGCCCTCTGCCGCCGCCCGGGCCGCCCGCCGCCCCCCGGCCCGCCGCCCGCCCCCCGGCCCGCCGCCCAGGCCCCACCACGGCTCGCGTCCAGGCGCCGGCCTGCGGCCTCCACGGCGGGGGGAAGGGGAGACCACTTCGCCGCCGCCGCCCAGCCCCACAAAGCCACCGGCACCCCGGCCCAGGCCGCCGCCCGCCCTGGCCCCCACGAGCCCCCTGCTTTCGACCCCGAGGCCCTGTGGCCCCCGGCCTGGTCCCAGCTCACTACCTTCCAGAAGCGTCTCCGGCCCGTCTGACTGAGGGCTGGAAAGATGGCGGAAGCGCAATTCAAATGCCCGGAGACGCAGCCGACGCCGGCGCGCGCCGAAGGAGGGCGGGGCAACGGCGCCGCGCCGCTCCCACGTGGCCCGGCGCGCGCGCGCACGCACGCCGCGGGCTCGGGCGGCCACACCCGTCGGCCAGGCGCGGAGGGAAAGAGACGCGGGGGACGGCGGGCGCGGGCGGGCGCGGGCCGCAGGGCGGGACGCCGGGCGGGCGCGCGCACGCACACCCGCCCGCAGGGGCCACATGCGCCGGCCCGGAGGGCGGGGTCCCGCGCGCGCGCGCATGCGCCGACGGCGGCACGGCGCGCCCAGACGCGGCCGCGCCACGGAACTGGGAGCGGAGGGCAGGCCCCTTGCGCGGGAAAGTCGCGGGGAGCGGCCCACACAAAGCCCCTGGGCCTCCCCAGCCGGGGGGCTGGCACAGGGCTCCGCACGTTGGGGTGTGCGCCACGCCCGCGCCCCCCTGAGCTTCATCCCCTTGACCCATGGCCTCTTCCCTGTGCCCCCAGCCCCTTCCTCCCGCACTCTCCCCGCCCCTCCCCCATCCCTGACCCCTCTCATTCACTCCTTGACCCCCTCACCCTTCGCTGTTTCCAGTTCCCCCACCTCTGTGTCCCTGGCCTCCACCGGGACTACTGGGGGTAAAGGACGCAAAGACCTGCTTTTTCCCTCCTTGCAAAGCCAGCCACCCTTTTCTTAAAGCCTCCAATTGGCCAGCAGCCTTGGTCACCGTACCCTGCAAACAGGATGATGAAATGGTGTGTTTTCAACTTCGGCAGCTCTTATCCCGGTTACACACACGATGCAATCGTGTAGATTTCAGACTCCGGAGGGGACTAAGCTGCCAGAGTGCAAGACGGCTCCACCTGCACTCAGCCCTCACATGCCGTGGGGCACCCACCTCGGAGGTTCCTTACAGGTAGAAAACGAGATGAGTCACAGGCCCAACTAGTGTTGACTATTCTTACCATCCGTTGGCATTTAGCCAGGGTGTGGGCCGGTGAGAGTCCTCCAACCTCTCACCCTAAGTCTAAGGCCGGGTTTTGGCCTTTGTGTGGACAGCCACAGATTCTCCTTGACCTACCTCTCCTTGGTCCACCTCGCAGCAAGAGCAGGCAGCTGATGGCCCCATCAGAATGTCGTGTTGCTCAGAAAGGATTCCAAACAGGGGGACTCTTTCCAGAGTGAAGACAATCCAAGTGACCAGGAAGGAGTTAGCCACCTAGTCCTGAGTGCACTTTGCACCAAGTGCACAGCCTGTTGGGAACACAAGTGACATAAATTGACCACAACTCTTCTGAGGACCTGCCTACTGGGTACTCAAGTCCCAGTCCCCAAAGGACCCTCAGGAAAACCCAAACAGACCCTCCATGCTACTGGTGAAACTGGTAAAGCATCCATGCGGAAAGCTGGCAACTCTACTTACGTTTCTGGAGAGGTTCCCTGGATTTAGGCTCACCGTACGCACCGGGAGACAGTGTCATCGTGCTTACCGTAACACAATAATAACAAACGGAACTTTCATACATCCATTGATAGGGAAACATACAAATATTTAACTGGATTACTGTACAGCATCTGAAAGGAAGCAGGTTCATCTGTATCAAAAGGGTTAGATTCCTTTTTTATTTTAAAATTTTTTAACGTTCATTTATTTTTGAGAGACAGAGCATGAGCGGGGGAGGGGTAGAGAGAGAGGGAGACACAGAATCTGAAGCAGCTCCAGGCTCCAGCTGTCAGCCCAGAGCTCACAGACTGTGAGATCATGACCTGAGCCAAAGTCAAATGTTCAACCGACTGAGCCACCCAGGTGCCCTTCAAAAGGTTAGATTTCAAAGGATAATGAGAAGAGAAGCAAGTTTAAGAAAGATGTGATAATAGCTTTATACAATCTATAATTTCATATAGGGATCATATAGTATAACACGATTTATGTAAATTTTTGTAAACACGAAACCACAATCTCGGATGTATGTAGGTAAATTTTTAAAAACTGACTGCAAGGATATGTAGATTGAATTCTGATGCTGTTGTTTCAAAAGACCATAGAAAGGTAGGGTGCAATGGAGGTGGGCAGTCAAAAAAGGTGACCTGCAAGTTTCCATTTCTTCTGTTAAAAGAAGGTAACTGAGGCAAATATGATGACATATTAACCATTGTATAACTCTAGGTGGTGAGAGCACCAGTGTTTCCACCTTCTGGCATTTTTGAAAAAATTTCTTCCCATAAGAAGCGCCAAGGGGAAATAAACCAAACGTATCAGTTATTCTCACACTGAGCATTCTAAACGGAGCCCCTGGGTGGTTCGGTTTGGTTGTTAGCTGCAGATGGCATGCACCCGCCCAGTCGCAGAACTTCTGAAGACGATCATCTTAAAGAGCACAGTGAAATATGGGAAAATGGACTCCAGCTGGCACTGAGAGTGCGTTTCCCCAGGAAAACTGCCCAAGTTCTTCCAATTGCTATGGCTTTGCTGCTTACAGAGGTACTTCCTTGTCTCTGCCACCCGACGGGGATTGCACACCCCTGCTGAGCCTATAGTTTCCACCAAAGAAGTAACAGAATTACCAAAAAAAAGTTGCAGAAAGAGTAAGAGGAATTACCTTTAAGTTCCCCAAATGTTAACCTTACTCATTTGCCTTGGTCATTCTCTCCTCCTTTCTCTCAGTATATATGGTTTTTAAAACACACGTAGGCTTTTTGTTCTCTGGGTTGTGTGTGGGTTTTTTTAATGTTTTATTTATTTTTAAGAGAGAGTATGAGTGGGGGAAGAGAAGAGAGAGGGAGACACAGAATCCGAAGCAGGCTCCGGGCACCAATCTGTCAGCACAGAGCCTGATGCGGGGCTTGAACTCACAAACAGTGAGATCATGACCTGAGCTGAAGTCGGACACTCAACCGACTGAGCCACCCAGACGCCCCACTCTGGGTTGTTTGAGAGTAAGCAGCCAACAAGATGGCCCTTGGTGCAGATTTCTTAAAAGCAAAGACATTCTGTTACATCACTGCTGCTCAGTTACTCAAATCAGGAAATTAACATTGTTGCAATTCTACTATCTCCTCTACAGACCTGAAGGGCCACTTTTTCATCTCACTTCTGTTCTATATCTGGTGCAGGATCCGTTCAGGATTAGGGGTTGCCTTTAACTGTGTGGTCTGTTCTGTTTCTTTACATCCAGAGCAGTAACTCCATCTTTGTCTTTTGTGACCTGGACACGTGGCAGAATAGTTAGTAGCCAGATCTCTTGTAGGATGCCCTCCAGTTGGCTTTGCCTGGCATTCCCTCTGGATTGGACTCAGGGTGTGCAGCTTGGGCTGGGATACCGCAGAGCTGACGCTGTGTTCTTCTCAGTGCATCTTTTCAGGAGGCACAGAGGGATCCTCGTGAAACGTTTCAGACCATCCTTCTCCCCTTTGACACGGTGGCAGTTTTCTGTATCGCTTCGATACGTGACATCTGGGGCTGCCTGGGCCCTCCGTGAGCTACTTCGCCACCCCGTCGACAGCTCCCGTCCCTGTAACCTTGCTGCAGCCACACAAGCCTTCCTGAATCTCAGCTCAGCCAAGTTTGTCCCTGGCTTAGGGCCTTTGCCCTGTGGTCCCTCTGCCTCAAATGCTCTTCTTCCAAATCCTTGCCTGACTGGCTCCTTATCACCCTTCAGGTCACAGCTCAAATGTCACCTCCTCAGGAAAGCCCACCCAGACCAGCCTTCTAAAATGGTGTCACCGCAGCAGACATTTCCCATCTCAGCCCCGACTAGATTTTCTCCGAAGAAGCACTTACCACTAACTGAAAATAGTTTGCTTAATTATTTACATGCTTACTTTTTTTTTTTTTTAACCTTTCTTTTCTTCACTAGAATAAACGAAGCACCTTGCTTGGCACCATATTCAGGGTATCTAGCACAGGGCCCGGCACGTCATGCGTGCCCAGTAAATATTTGTTGAATAAGTGGGTGAATTCCTCTTAACCCCATCTGAATACAGAAAGACTGATCACAAACAGCGGCATTAAATGCTAATAAAGTAATAGTGGTTTACGTACACAAGCCTATTAGAACTTTACTATGCTATTTCATGTCGAAGACTAATCATTAAGCAAATAACAAACACTGACCGAATACAGGCCCAACCTTTTCTACCTGCGCAATTTCCAACACCCCCCTTGACTTTGCAAACCAATAAGGAAGGTAGCCTGAAAGATTCCATTATCTAATCCATTCATTAATACTAATGATAATTTGTCAAAGCGATCATTTCTTTACTGGACACAAATGTTTTATTTACATAGGGAGCACACTGATGCCCAGATTACATGCTACTTCTTAGCATCAGCACTGAAATTATATTCCCCGGACACCAGAATGGAGAGACCGGTCACATATTCACGGTGGACGTCCATCAGTTTCTTCCACCCAACAACCAGGGTGGAGCAGAGGGTGCATTTTGGCGGCCCATGAACTAAATTGCGGCTTGTGCTCTACTGGGGTGGATCGCAACACGCTGGGTATCTGAACTGTTTGCCAGCAACATGTGATGCTTTTCAAAGTGAGTCCACAAATTCTTTGATATTTCTCTCTTCAAGAGGTTGAGCCTAAGTCACCTCTCCCTGAGTGTGGGCGGGACTTAGCGGCTCCCGGCTAGCAAAGGGGGTCTGTCTGAAGGGACAGTGAATGACTTTTGAGACTTACGTCACTGAGACCCTGTGACTTCGGCCTTGCTCTCTTGGGTCACTCACTCTGGGGAGGACACGGTGGGGACAAGCACAGCCCTGTGGTCAGGTTTGTGTGACAAAGAGTTGAGCCCAGGGGGCCTGCCCGCCTGTGAGGGAGTCTTCCGGCCCCAGTCAGCCCCTGCCCGCATCTTGCCTGCAGTCTCATGAAGCACGACCACCCGGTGAAGCCCCTCCCGAAATCCTGACTCTTGGATGCCGTGTGAGGTTTATTGTTTATTGTCATTTCAAACAGGAACTTCGGATGCAATTTGCCCTGCAAGGAGTGATGGATCTACAGCACACAAAGCGAAGATAGTTTGCATAAAAAGCCA